GTTAGTTTTGTGGAAACTGATAGATGAAGTTGTTATTTTATTCTTCTGCATGTGGAAATTCAATTTTCCAAGCAGTATTTCTTGACAATGTTTACTTCTGTCCACTGTATGTTTTGGCACAATGTTTAATATGAAATGGCTGGAGTTACACGTCCTCAAGTTTGGATCTTCAATTTTGTCCCATTGGTCTGCATGGTCATTTTTTATGCCAATACCATACTATTTTAATTGTCTCTGTAATGCTTCTTAAGATCTGGAATGGTAATCCCTCCAGCATTGTTATTTCTGCTCAGAATTGTTTTTTTCTATCTAGGTGTGCTGTGGTTCCACATGAATTTTAGTTGTTTTTTCATGAAGAAAGAGAACGGAGTTTTCATTAGGATTTTGTTGAATATGTGAATAGTATTTTGTAAAATGGACAGATCACAGTGAAGGGCATACAGATTCTGTACATCTGGGCAGTCATTCATTGTTTCCCAGATAGGGATATGTGAGCAGAGCATGTTAGATCTTCTTTATGTTAGTATATTGATTATGCAAAACAATGAGTCTCATCAGGTATGTGCCCTCCAAAGGACAGGCTCAGATATTAGATCACATAACTCTAAATCCAGAATTTCAATATCTGGAGGATAACTAGGCATATTGACAGATGTTAGTGTCTAGAACAGGTCAAGCATGGACTGGGATTCAGAGCAAATGGCATTTGTGTCACATACTCTCTGAGGCCTGGTCTTGTGAGTACATTCGACAATAGACAAATACCTATGGTCAGAAAAGGGTTTAGTGGCTTAAAGGGTCATTGTGATTGAATTGTCTATATCTTCCATATTTCTACCACTATGACTTTCTGAAATCCACTATACCTTATCATACCTCACTAGTCTCTATTGAATCCCTTTTCTACCCTGAAAACTCTTTGAGAAGCTCTATTGTTCTGTTGGCTCACACTCCTTACCGGTGACTTTCCTAGCCTTTAGTCCATTGCCAAACTTCTATACCTTCCATCATCTTGCATTGTGCCTCCTCTCAATTCAAATATATTTGTAACATGAGGGCCTGCTTGTTGAGGTTTCTGTCCTGCCCAGTTCCCACAGTCTTAATATCCCAAAGAATCACACAGAAGGTCTACATAAGTTATAAACTGATTGGCTCACTAGCTCAGGCTTCTTATTAGCTCTTATAACTCATATTAACCCATTGTTCTTATCTATGTTAGCCACATGGCTCGGTACCGTTTTTGGTGCGACAGGTCACATCCTGCTTCTACAGTGTCTCAGAAAGAGCTTCCTTCTTCCCAGAATACTCCTGTTCTTATTGCCCTGCCTCTACTTCCTGTCTGGTTGTCACACCTATACATCCTGCCTGGCTACTGGCCAATCAGCATTTATTTAAAACATAATTGACAGAGTACAGAATTGTCTGGCACCATATATTAGACTAATCTCTATGTCCTCTGTATTCCACTCAAAATGATTTCCTGCCCAAGTTTAGGCATTTTCAGTTCCCCTGTGACACTAGTACATACCCATTCATATATAGAATCTGAGTCATTATGGGAGCAATTTTTTCTTCTTTTTATTTATACTCTGTACCTTTCACATCCTTCTCCATTTCCTTCATTTCCCAGTACCTTTATATCCATACTCTGCCCTTGCAACCAATCCCTCCAACTACAATAAAATAAAATTTAAGAGAACAAATATTAAAAATAAGAAGGGTAACATCAGTTTCATCTTGGAAACTATAGTGTGACACAATGAGTCATGCAGGAAACACTTTTATCCATTTACCCTTACTTGCAAGTGCTCATTGAAGAGACTCAGTGGTCTGGTTCTAGTCCTCTGGGACTCTAGTCTTGATTATCCTGCTGTTACCCTGAGTTGTGGAAATCATGAAGCTTTGGGTCTGATGTTCCCTTCACCTGCTCCAGCAAATCATAGTTTGGGTGGACGCTGGGGTAAGCCACCACATGACCCTGGATCTGGACTTGTGTAATTGCAGGGTTGGTTAGACTATCAGCTCTCCCTCTTCCTTACCAAAAGAGTGAGACCCTTGGGGCAATTTTCATCAACTCATGTCCTTTTCTACTCAGTTCCCATCATTTTATTGTGCTCATATTTCTTCCCTTCTCTTGTATATATCCTTTTCTGAAACTGTTCTATTTATTGATAAGGGTTAAATAAAATTGTATTCTACTTGAGATTTCAAAAATTTGTGGTTTTCAGATCATTCCTCAATTATGGTTCTATTTAGAAAAATTGTGTACACATTTGAATATTAAATATAAATGGAGATGAACAGTATTGGTGTGGCTCTTATTTGTAAGATTGTCTGGTCCTGTCTTCTGGATATATGTTTATATTATATAGCCTTTATTATGTTGTCAAATGATATATTCATTTCTAGGCATTCTATGCCATTTATGATGAAGACATGTTGGATTTTGTTAAAAATACTTTTTGACATCTAGACTTCAAAATGGGTTGTCTCCATGTAGTCTATCTATTCAGAGATCAGGAAATCCCATGGAATAGGAGACAGAAAGAGTATTACAAAGAGAGGGGTGAATAATACCAGGAAACAATGCCTCTAAGTCAACTGAGCAAAGACCTATGAACTAGCAGAGACTGAATCCAAAAGCACAGGCCTTCCACAGGTCTGCATCGAGTCCTCTGTATATTTAGTATATCATTCAATTTAATATTTTTTATTAAAATTTTTTATTAAAAATTTCAGCCTCCTCCCTTTCTCCCTTTTCCCTCCCCCTCCCCCCACTCCCTATGCTCCACTCCCCTCCCCCTCTCTTTCCAGTCCAAAGAGCAGTCAGGGTTCCCTGCCCTGTGGGAAGTCCAAGGTCCTCCCCCCTCCATCCTGGTCTAGGAAGGTGAGCATCCAAACCGTCTAGGCTCCCACAAAGCCAGTACATGCAGTAGAGTCAAAACTCAATACCATTGTCCTTGGCTTCTCAGCAGCCCTCATTGTCCACCATATCAGAGAGTCTGGTTTTATCCCATGCATTTTCAGTCCCAGTCCAGCTGGCCTTGGTGATCTTTCAATAGATCAGCCCCACCATCTCCCAGCAATACACTCTTAGTAATAGTCAGTTTAATATTTTTATAGAATTTCTGATATGTGGATTAGTAGGTCTTGGATTCTTGTGCCTTCTTCTGGACATATTTTCTTTTGTTGCCTTACCCTGTCCAACTTCCATGTGATAGCTTTATTTAATATTAGTATATGTTATTTTGTTATGGTTTATTATTATTTCTTAGAAGCCTGTCCTAATGTAATAATAAAAAGCAAGTAGGCCTGCATGGTAGGAGAGATAGGGAGGAACTAGGATGAGTAAGGGGAAGTGAAAACATAATCATGATACACTGTTTGAAAATAGGGTCTATTTTCAATAAAATGTTCAAAAAAGAATACGAATCAAAGGTCTTCTGGGATCTAATATGATAATTAAGTGATTTCTGTTTTTTAGTGCTTATGTGTGATGAATTATATTTACTGATGGTTATTTGTTGGCAATCCCTGCATCTTTGGATAAGTTGTAGTACCTTTTTGTTTCAAATTAAAATCACTATACTGTAATGAACTCACAAATAAAAGTATTAATGTGCAACAATGAAATAGCAACTCCAAATAACACTTGCACAGGCCAGAATTCTGCCCATTTCAATGAATTTCTCCACAGTTAGGATAGCCATGCTGAAGCGATAGAGCTTTGCTTAGGGTTTTACATTGTCACTAGCAATTACATACCTATGCCCTCATGCACCAGAAAAAAGGAAAACTATCATAGTAGAAAATAAAAAAATAGTTATTTTATTTTTATATATCCTCTTTCATAAATCATGGATACATTTACCTGCTCACTAACTAATGCTATGTTATTTGTCTCCTTTATAGATGCTATACAGTATAAATGAATACTCACATATTCATTTGCATATAAGCATGTAGACATTATAGGGTACAATCTTCATACAAAGAAGACAATGTGAACTTGTTTCATTATGACATTCTGTGACCTGGCAAAAATATCCCTTATAAGTGTATCAATTTTTCTACACATTTTGTGATTTCATCTTTCACTGTAGTCCATTTTTATATAAGGAAACACATTTAATTATCAATTTATATGTTTTGGATATGTAGGTGGGATCTATTTTGTTGCCTATAGTAAATAGATCAGAAATAAAAATGGATGGTGAAATACCTCTACGTTATGATAAGGAATTCTCTTGCTATAAACCCAGGAGTGAAATACCTAAGTCAAATAATACCTCCATTTTCTTTTGATAAACTCCAGGATTGATTTTCTATATGACTGTATTAAATTCTTTCAAACTCTTTTTATGAAGCAACCATTACACTGATGACAAACCAGATAAAGAACAACAATAGGAAATGAAGTTTTCAAGTCAATATCCTTGATGCTAAAATTTTCAATAAAATACTTGCAAACAATTCAGAATTACAACAAAGACACCATTTATTATTAATTAATTTTGTATTATGTGGAAGGTATTGAGCCTATTTGTTGTCTGGTGTTGTGAAAAGCTATAGCAGCTGTGGTGTGACCAAGTCCTCCTGAGAAACAAGTTTATTACCAGGAAGCATTTCATTTGTCCTAGAAGATAGAATGTAGACCACAGAGCTGTCTGTGAAACTACCAAGCAGCCAAGATCTCCCGACAGAATGAAATCCATAAGCAGCTCACTTTTATTGACATGTTTTTCTGGGTCCCTTGTACATCAGGTAGTCAAAGAAAAGACACTCCCAGCTACGAGAGTACAATGGACCTAAAAAAATATGAACAGTTCATGAAGGCTGTTGATTCAACCAGCTGACCAAACACCCAAAATCATTTCAGCTAATCTTAATAAGACAAGGTACTACTAACCCAAATGCCTCTATTGACCTTTTGAGTGTGAAAGGTGAACAAAGAACTGGATACCAAGTAAAACATATTGTTTTCATACTTAGAGTGAAATTCAATGATTTTTATTTCTTATCAGGACAAAACAGTGCCTGGACAAAATAGAATGATTCATGAGAACAAATGGTCCAAAAGATGGAAAACACAGAGAAGTCAGGGTACTAATATTCACCAGCCACCAGTTGTGACTATTTAAAAGAGCAATGGAGCCTCTTACCATGGAAGAGACAGTGTAAAAAGCCAAAAAGTTAGACAAAAGGATCAGAATGTTCTGGGTGACTCTGAACTCAGGGGAGTTTCTACTGGAACCGTGAGAGCTGCGGATGTGTTGAACCCTCTGCTTGTGTTTGTAGAGAATGATAATCATGGCACCACTGGACCAGGCCATGAGCACAGAAAGAAAGACTTCAGGGCAAACCACCAATGCTGCATAGAGTGAATCACCAATTTCATCCCCCCTTACAGTTGAGCAGTATCCAAAATCTCGTGTTTGTGACATATTTTTGCTGTTCCTGTTGAAAATTATGTATGAAAAATAGATGAAATTTATGAATATGTTCAGAATCCAGATGAGGGAAATGAGGCAGATGATGTACTTCTCAACTTTGACTTTATGATTCTTCCAGCAGGATTTCCTGGGGAAAATGGTCAAAGCCTGAAAGACACTTAGTAGGCAAGTGGTACCAATGGACACACTCCTACCACATCCCTGAATGTAAAATAGGAGCTTGCATCCAAAATCATTCAAAAATTGCTTAAATCCCCAAACTGCCATAGTTTGGGGCACTCCTGTAGAGAGAATAATCAAGACATTGGCTGCCATTATATTCATCAGAATCAAATCTGTGGGCTTTAATGTGTATTCTCTGAAGTAAAGGACTAGATAGTGGAAAATTAGAAAGAAATTTCCCAGAATTCCAGTTGCAGTTTGTGAAAAGATAATGATTATGATTGCCAGATTCCATAAATTCATTCTGTGACTTGGCACAATTTCCTTTAGAATATGGCCCCAATATTCTTCAGACCAAATTATTACTGACATATGTTTGCAGTCTGCAGTAGAGGAAGAAGCCTTTATTCCATGGGGCAACTGACAGAATGAAACAAAGAGTATTGTAACACTCATGGTCATGGCCAGCTCTGACCACTTAAAAAGTCCTCATCCTCAAGTTTGACAGGAGTAGTTACTTTCTATGTATATTACTGTGAGAATATACAATACAGTAAAACGTATATAATGATGAAGGAAAGACGTAAAACTTCAGAGAAAATGAACCATAGAGAAGGAGGTGATATTGGCCCATGAGTAACAATGAAAAGCATAATCCCATACAAACAAGTATAATGCAAGACTTCCAGAGTATATTATCTAGCAATGGTTTTAAAGAAAACAACTTTAATAATGTCCATGAAAATTAAATATGTCAGTGCTTCACAAATATCTTATCTAAAAATAAGAGATATGAAAAGAGAAATTTATAATGCCATTTATAAAAAAACCTATTGCCTTGTGACATGGAAAATGGTCTCTACCTTGTCTCATGTGGAGCCATTTTTAGTTTAACCTTAAACTAGTTCTCCCTTTGCTATTGTTTTCATGAAGACTCCCTTGGAAATGTACCCAACCCGGTTCTAGAGACTGGGAGTCAAAATGCCCCCAAATAACTGCATGATATTAGCTTCTTTTTAACTGTTTGACTGCTTTACTCTCCACTCATCCTTGCAAACTACCAAACAGTATATACTTGTTTTGGTATTATTCCCTTTAAAGCTCCCTGTAAAATAAATTTCTGACATCACTGTGAGAAATGTTTGTCTCCAATTAGTAACCAAGTCCACTTAAAGCAGACTCTCAATTTCAAGCTTCCTTATGCCAAGTCAACTTTGTGTCTTTACCCTGAAACAGTGGTATACAGGAAAAATATAAAAGCACTACTGCATTAGAATGATGGTTTAAGTGACAACTTATATCATGTTAAAGCACAACTTTATAAAAATCATACCACATAGACACAAACATGTGTGCACTCACATATCAGAGCTGTTAGAGAGAAAGGGATATCTGGTATGGTGAAATCTCATAGACTGAACAGCAGCACAAAGTAAGGCAAAAATGCTACCAGAAATGGCAAGAAGGACAGCATCTGATGAATGACAGCTTCTGAAGAATTATTTATGGTCTGTATTGAAACTGTATCTGGAATAATCATGCACCACTCCATAGTCTTAGAGTGAAAATGATAAGGAAAATGGCAGTGGGTTAGACAGCCCCTCAGTGCAGTGAAGTTAAGAGTAAACTGTCAACACACCATATACTATTCCAGCAAAATTAGATATCTGAAATCTTCTGAGGTAGGTGAGCTCCCTTTGAAGAAGTAGGCAGAAGTGACGGTGAATCAGAACCAGGCTGGACCATGCAGTCCCAGGAAAGTCACCTTTGCTCTACACAATCATCAACCATGCAATGACAGCTGAATAATCAATAACCAAGAACCTTGCAGCCTGTCATGCTAGTGAATGTCACAGAAGACTGTAAAACTGGTGACATCTACTCAAGTAGAATAATTAGAAAACTACACGCCAATACTCAAATCCTGAGATAACTTTTGTCTTGGTCCTGGTTTCTATTTCTGTGAAGACATACCATGAACACAACACCTCTTATAAAGGAAAACATTTAATAGGGGTTTGCTTACAGTTTCTGGGACTTAATTCAACATCATCAGCACATGACCAATTAATCAAATATACAAGAATAAAATTCTACGTACATGTGGAGTCTTGCAAATCTTACCATTGGTTTTTGTTATAACTACTAAGGTCCAAATGATGTTTCACTTGGAAAATTTCCATGAAACATATAGTTAAGAGTTTTAAGACCTTAGATAAGGAGTATAGTTCACAAACAAAATAAGAAAATAAGTGTGGTTTAAGCTTATTGTGCTGGCATACCAAAGAGTTACACAATAGCTCAAAATGGAGGACAAAAAAGGTTTATTTATTTGGGGATAAACTCACAGTGATGTTAGTGATCTGCACTCCTCTGTGTGCACAGGGAAATGGAACTGTTCAGCAGCAAAGAGTCCTATCCATGCTTTTTATCTGTATTTATAATACATGAGACCATGTCCAAAATGGGCTGGTAGCGTAAAGGCTATAGAATGAAGGAGTTCCCACAATACAACATTTCCCCCTTTTGTCTAAATAAAAGAGTTCTAAGCCTAATACAAAACTAGATACAATAAAAATAAATATCAACTATTTTTTCAGAGAAAAGAAGAGGCAAACACACACATAAAAATTAAAAATTACAACCAGCATGAATAGCATCAAACAAGAAATCTATTCTAAATGTTTCAATAGTTATCCTATCCTAAGGAGTCTAAATCTCAGTGGTAATAGGTTGCCTTGTTTGTCTCTTGTTGATTTGCATTCATTGGTCCAATATTGGCCTTTGCTGTATTTTCTACATATTCCATAAGACCTTCTGTTTTTGTCATTAATAGAAGAAACATTATTTCTAAGGATACCTTGTTTTCAATCCCTTCTCAGATGTCCAATTCTATGTTAATTAAAATATTTGGATTTTGATATCTCTTCATACCTTTGGAAATTGTTTCTCCTACCTACTCCTCAGTGTTATAGTCAAATAATACAACATTGACTGTGTGTAGGATCCATTCATCCATTGGTACTTATCTGACCTTTAAAGGACCAAGTATTTTTTTCTGTGTTGGCATTTTATTTTATTTTTTATTTTTTTATTGATTTTTATTGTGCTTTGTCTGATGTGGAATTAGTAAAGATCTTTTCAATTCTGCAGGCTGTCATTCTGTCTTGTTGACCATGTCCTTTGCCTTACAGAAGATTTTCAGTTTCAGGAGGTCCCATTTATTAACTGTTTCTCTCAGTGTTTGTGCTGGTGGGTTATATGTAGGAAGTGGTCTCCTGTGCCAATGTGTTCAAGTGTACTTTGCACTTTCTCATCTACAAGGCTGGCTTTATGTTGAGGTCTTTGATCCAAATGGATTTGAGTTTTGTGCATGGTGATAGATACAGGTCTCTTTTCATTCTTTTCCATGTTGATATCATTATGCCAGCACTACTTGTTAAGTATGCTTTCTTTCTTCAATTTGATATTTTTTGTTTCTTTGAGAAAACTCGGGTGTTTGAAGGAGTGTAGATTAATATCCAGGTCTTGTATTCAGTTTCATTGGTCCCCCTGTCTGTTCTTATGCCAATACCAGTCTATTTTCAGTACTATAGCTCTGTAGTAGAGTTTGAAGTCAGGGATTGTAATTCCTCCCGAAGTTCTTTTATTGTATTGGATTGCTTTGGCTATCTTAAGTTTTTTGTTTTTCCACATGAAGTTGAGTACTGTTCTTTCGAGGTCTCTGAAGAAGCGTGCTTGGATGGTCATTACATTGAATCTGTAGGTTACTTTTGGTAAGATTGCCATTTTTACTATGTTAATTCTGTTTACCCAAGAACATGGGAGAGCTTTCCACTTTCTGGTGTCTTCTTCAATTTCTTTCTTCAAAGATTTAAAGTTTTTGTCATACAAGTCTTCCACTTGTTTGGTAGAGTTATTCCAAGATATTTTATGCAACTTGTGGCTATTGTGAAGGGTGTTGTTTCTCTGATTTCTTCCCCAGCCCTTTTATCAACTGTGTACAGGAGGGCTACTGATTTTTTTAGTTAATCTTGTATCTTGCTACATAACTGAAAGTGTTTATGAGTTGTAGAAGCTATTGGTAGAAATTTTGGGATCGCTTATGTAAACTGTCGTATCATCAGTAACAGTGAGAGTTTGACTTCTTCTTTTCCAATTTGTATCCCCTTGATCTCCCTTTGGTGTTTTATTGCTCTAGCTAGGACCTCAAGAACTATATTGAATATATTGATGTGGAGAGAGTGGACAACCTTGTCTTGTTCCTGATTTCAGTGGAATCACTGGGAGTTTGTCTCCATTTAGTTTGATGTTGGCTGTTGGCTTGTTGTATATTGCCTTTATTATGTTTAGCTATGCTCCTTGTATCCCTGCTCTCTCCAAGACCTTTATTATTAAGGGATATTGTATTTTGTCAAAAGCTTTTTTGGCATCTAGTAAGATGATCATGTGGTTTTTACTTTTCAGCTTGTTTATATGGTGGATTATGTTGACATATTTTCAGATGTTGAACCATCCCTGCTTCTCTGGGATGAAGTAGACTTTATCATGATAGATCAAGGTTTTGATGTGTTCTTGAATTTGATTTGCCAGTATTTTATTTAGTATTTTTGCATTGATGCTCATGAGTGAGATTGGTCTATAATTCTCCTTCTAAGTTATGTCTTTCTGTGGTTTGGGTATCCGGATAATTGTAGCCTCATAAAAAGAGTTTGGCAATTCTGATAGGTTTACCTTTATATGTTACTTGACCTTTTTCTTTTGCAGCTCTTAATATTCTTTATTCTGTATGTTTTGTGTTTTGATTATTATATGGTGAAGTGATTTTTTTTATCCAGTCTATTTGGTGTTCTGTAAGCTTCTTGTATCTTCATAGGCATATCTTTCTTTGGGTTTGGGAAAGTTTTCTTCTGATTATGTTAAATATATTTTCTGTGCTTTTGAGTTAAACTTCTCCTTCTTCTATACCTATAATTCTTATATTTGACCTTTTTCATCATGTCCCATATTTTCTGGCTATTTTTGGTTAAGCTTTTATTAGACTTAATGTTTTCTTTAACTGATGTGTTTATTTCTTCTACTGTATCTTCAGCACTTGAGAGTCTCTCTTCCATCTTGTATTCTGCTGTTCATGCTTGCATTTGTGGTTCCTGAGTGTTTTCTGATTATTTCTGTTTCTCCTATTTGTAGTGATTTAGTGAATTTAGATTTAGTTGATAACTAATTTTATCTCAGATAAAGCAAAGCATATGTATTGAATGCATAGGACAAGAAAGACAGAGAGGAATATTAAAACAATAAATAGCTAACAT